TTGGTAGTTCAAACCCACCAGCCATTCCACAGAAGAAAGATGAGGTAATCTACTTCCGTAAAAATTTACTGCCTTGGAAACCCAATGGGGGTCTCCGTGAGTTGTAATTGACTTGAAGGCACTGGGTTTGGTTTTTGGTTTTATGCGTTCCCTAGCCCAGACTCCTTGAAGCCTTACATGCTAGCTTTCTCATGCCTCAGGAAGCCATATTCCAAACCCCCAATTTGTTGTTGTTGTTGTTATGTGCCATCGACTCGGACCTGACTCATAGCGACCCCTCCTTGGGTTGCCGAGGCGGTATCACTATGGAAGTAGATTGCCCCATCTTCCTTCCGAGAAGTGGCTGGGGGGTTTGAACCGCCAGCCTTCTGGTTAGCAGTCAAGTGCCTTAGGCACTACGCTACCAGAGCACCTATTAGTCACTGAAAACTACGACTCCCATCAATCCGTCAGGGTGGCCCCTGAAGGCACCTCACGTGGGCCTTGGACTGTTGGGGAATGTTTCCTTTCAGCAGGTGTCCACTGCAGGGCCCCCGGTGTCCTGCCACGCCCCCCCTTCCCCTCGGTCCCCAGGGGTTAGTGCTCACTGGTGCAAAGCTGGCAGAAGCCGGTGGCATAGAAGAGCCCTCCTCGCCGCATGGTGTAGAGCTGGAACATGAACAGGATGAAGGACAGGCAGCAGAGGATGAGCGAAAGCACCATGAGGACCTGCACCGCCTTCAGCCAGCCTGCGGCGGGAGAGACAAGGCTGGCGTCACCCAGTGCCGCCCAGAGTGCCAGCGCCATGCAGCTGCCTCTCCCGTCCTCCTCTGCCATCTGCGGTCCTTGTACACTCAGGCACACCCCTGAGGCCGACCTTGTATCCCAAGACCTTGTCAAGTTCTAGCAGTTACTTTGCAAATTCTTACCCTCATTCCACCTTTTCCCCATCACGTCATCTTTTCCCTGACTCCTCCTCTAGGCTCCCTGGCCACGCCCACTTCCCTTTCCGAGTCCCGCCCTCTTTTCTATGTTGGCTCCAGCCCCTGTGGACGCTCCCTGGGAGAGAATCCCTGAATCCATTTTCTATACAGACAAACACGTCCTCTGGGAATAGAGACAGTTTTACTTTTTCTTTTCAGATCTCCCTTTTCTTTCTTTTCCTTGCCTTGTTGGGACTGGCTACCTCCAGTACAATGTTGAACAGAGGTAGGGCGAGCAGACATTTTTGGCTTAATCTTGGGGGAATACTTTTTCACCGTCTTTCATTGAAAATCTCACAGAGATGTGGTCCCGTTCCTTTCCAACTCATGAAATGCATCTGGCTTCATCCATTTAGATAGAAACTTGGAAGGACCCAGCCCCATTCTGTTAGAAACCTGGAAGGATTCAGCCCCATCCCTTGAGAACCTTGGAAGGACACAGCCCCACCCCTTGAAGAGCCTTGGAAGGATGCAACTCCACCTGTTTAGAACCTTGGAAGGACCCAGCCCCACCCCTTTGGAACTTTAACGTGGATCTAACCCCACCCCTTTAGAACCTTAATGCAGGTCTGGCCCCACCTCATTGCCATTTGGAGATCTTTATCCCAGCCATCCATTCAGAACACTAGCTTTAACTCCTTAGCATATTGGAAACTTAGCTCCATCTTCTCAGAATCTTGGGACTGCCTTCCCGCTCCTTAACTCTATAGCCTGTGGGTTCTACCCTTTTTGAATCATAAGTGTGTGTGGGGTGCATCCCCTTCAGAATCTGAGCCTATTGCCCACCACTATCCAGATAGGCGAAGGAGCGCTGGTGGTGCAGTGTTAAAGCGCTCAGCTGCTAAGCAAACGGTCAGTAGTTCCAACTACCAGCCGCTCCTGGGGGAAAGAGGCGGCAGTGTGCACCATAAAGATGACAGCCTTAGAAACCTTATGGGGCAGTACCACTAGGGTTGCTATGAGTCAGAATCCACCTGAGGGCAATGTTCGTTTTTTTTCCTTTTCCTCCCCATAGGGGGAACATATATTGGTCTCATCAACTCAGTCTTGCAGCCTGATCCCGCCCTCTCCAACTCGTGGTCCCCAGAATCTAGATCAGCGCCCACTCCTCTCACCGTTTTGGCTGACATCACTGCAGGTCCACGCTTCCCTGGTGCTGTTCCACGTGCAGTCATACCACAGGTTCAGGGACTCTCTCCCAGGGAGCGTCCACCAAGACTAGAGCGGGACACAGAAAAGAGGGCGGGGCTAGGAAAGGGGAGTGGGCGGGGCCAGGGAGCCTAGAGGAGGAGTTAGGGACAAGATGAAGTGATGGGGAAAAGGTGGAAGGGGGGGGCAAACATGGATTTCGAAGGGAAAGGGGCAGGGGCAGAGAGAAAGGCAGACTCTAGGTAAGAGGGCAAGGAACTCTGGCCGCGCAATGCCTAAGGCATTTGACTGCTAACCACAGGGTTGGCGGTTCAAACCCACCAGCCACTCCGCGGAAGGAAGACTGGGCAATCTACTTCCCTAAAGGTTTACCGCGTCAGAAACCACAGGGGGTCGCTATGAGTCAGAATCGACTCAGTGGCAGTGAGTTTGGTTCTGAGGTTAGGTAAAAGGGGACAGGGCGAGAATGGATGTAGAGGAGGGTTGTGACGGTGCTTACCTTATCCAAAGTGGCCACAAAAAGCAGTATAAGGATGACGATGTGAAGAGCCGAGACCACCAGCAGGAGGAGAGACATAGCTGTGGGGGAGCCCTGAGTGGGTGAGGGGGGGAGTCAGGAAGTGGGGTCCCCACGGGTGGACCGGGGGCAGGTGAGGAGGCTGGGAGCCTACCTTCCTGGGACTGAGGAAGGAGAGGGACTGGGGCAGGGGCCTCCTGGGTATGAGGGCGAAATGGGGGCAGGGGGCTGGAGGTCTGGGTTTTGGGGTATGAGGGAGGAAGGTCCTGGGGGCAGAGACTCCTGGGTGTGATGGAAGAGGGTGACTGGAGCCCTGAGCTCCTGGGTCGAGGAAGGAGGACACTGAAGGGTTGGAGTCCCGTGTTCCCCAGTTGTTGGAGAATGGATGGACTCTTGGGGTGTCATAACTAGTAGTACCAGGCATGTGACCCCTCCCTATGGAGCCCTGTTCACGGCACATAGGGGCCAGGATATGAAAATTAGAGTTGACACCCTCAAGTCATCAGATGGTAGGGGCTGTCCTCAGGGGCCTGTAGCCTTGAGTCACCCCACTCCTCTCTGGGGAGGGGGTGGCTGGGGTGGAGGGGAACCCAATGACTCATGCAATGAATCATCCCCCCCACCCCTGGCCTGTAAGCATCAGGGAAACCCCAGTCCCTGACTCTGCCCACGAGGTCCTCACTCCACCCTACTGCCAGTCTGGGGCCTGCTGGACCCCTGAGTCCTTGGGAATATAAGCAGAAGTTAGAATTTGGGGGGCAGGCGCCCAAGAAGAAGGAAACAGCAGTTTTCAGGGACAACCCTTTCAGTGTCCAGAAACAGGGGTGCTCGGAGGTTGCCTGGACTTGGGGTTCCCAAGAGCCCTCTGGGGGCGAATGGAGGCCCACGGGGAAAAAAAAAACTGTAGGAATTGTTTTTGGGGGGCTCTTCTAGGACCCTCGAAAGCCGGCCAGGCTCCTCCCCTGCCCGCATCCACGCCCCAAGTGTCAAGAAAATCATGTCTGAAGTTCCAAGGATTTCCTTGGAGCCCAGGCTCAGAGTGTCCTTCCCAAACTTCCGCACTCTCCAAGTGAAGAAAGAAGTCCCAACCCGAATAACGGACTAGAAACTTACCGAGAGCTGCAGAAAAAGTCCGAGTCCCAGTCTGGTTCTTCGCTCGGGCCTCCGTGCCCCGCCCTTCACCTCCCTCCTTCCACCCTCTAGAGGCCCCCGCCTCCCTCGCTGCAGGCCTCCCTCCCTCCCGGCTCACTCTCCCCTTCGGCTCCCCCCTTGCAATCCTGGAACCCCTCCTCTCGCTTTCTCCTTCTCTCCGCTGCCTCTAGTCTCGCTCCCTCGCTCGCTCCCTGTCCCTGCGCCCTGCCCAGGCCTCCTTCTCTCTCTCCCCACTGACTCTCCTGATTTGTCTTCCTCTCCAAATAAATACCGACCCGTTTATACCCACCCCAGCCGCACCCAGCTGAGGTCTGCAGCCAGAGGGAGGGCCCTGACTCGCAGGTTCCTCCGTCTGCCTCCTCCCACTCACTGCCCCCAGACGGACAGCTCGGAGGCTCTTTCCCAGCGTAGAGATGAGAAACCGTCCCACGGAAGCTTTGGGGTGGGGCAGGTGGCGTGGGCTGATTCCCTGGGCTTTCTTTGGGTCTTGGCCTGGGACTGGATAGCTGGTGCTTGATGGGGCTTGGGGGGCTGGATGCTCAGAGGGATGGGAATGGGGTGGGGTTGGGGTAGAGACCACATTCCTGAGGCTGGAGCAGGGGGCTGGTGGAGTTGCTGCTATGGTGTGTGTGAGGGGTCAAACCAAAAAACAAACCCGATGAGTAGACTCATGGCGCCCCAAGTGTTACAGAGTAAAACTGTTCCATAGGGTTTTCTTGGCTGCAGTGAAGGAGCCCTGGTGGTCCAGTGGTTAAGTCTAAGCTACTAACTGAAAGGCTGGTGGTTCGAACTCACCAGCCACTCCACGGGAGAACCATGAGGTGGTCTGCTCCCCTAAAGATTGACAGCCTTGGAAACCCTGTGGGGCAGTTCCACTCTGTCCTCTAGGGGCGCTGTGAGTCAGAATCAACTCCAGGCAGTGGGTGTGGTTTGGGCTTTATGTCCATGAAGACTGACAGCCTTGGAGACCCTGTGGGGCAGTTCCACTCTGTCCTCTAGGGGCGCTGTGAGTCGGAATGGACTCCACGGCAGTGGGTATGGTTTGGGCTTTGCTTCTGTGAAGATTGACAGCCTTGGAGACCCTGTGGTGCAGTTCCACTCTGTCCTCTAGGGGTGCGGAGTCAGAATTGCCTCCACTGCAGTGGGTTTTTAATCTTTTTGGAACCATTATCACCAGGCCTTTCTTCCTCAGTGCTTCTGGGTGGGTTTGAACCACCAACCATTAGGTTAGTAGTGAATCATAAACCATTTGTGCCACCCAGGGACTATTGGCTGCTAACCAAAAGTCATTGGTTTAAACCCACCAGCCACTCTGTGGAGGAAGGATGAGGAGATCTGCTGCCATAAGGATTGACAGGCTTAGAAACCCAATGGGGAGGTCACTATGAGTTGGATCTACTCGATGGCAGTGAGTTTGAGGGACCACTGGTGGGGGATGAGGGGTTGGAAAATAGAATATGGAAGACTCTGGAAGAGAGTGGAGTTGGAAGTTCAGAATCCCAGTTCCATTATCTCCTGGCTGGGATATCTCAAGCCATTTATTTAACTTCTCTGAGAGCTTCGATTTCTTAACCACGACATAGTTATAATAACACCACCGCTGACAGTGGCCGTTATCCCTGTAATCATCACTCCAACACTGTTATGTGGGTGCAGTAAGGGAGTAACGGTGCACTCCCACACCTAGCCTGCCCCTTCCCTCCTTCACGATGCATTTATTGAACATGTACTATGATCCAGGGCTCTTCATCAGTGAAGCAGATTATGATGTCATTATGGAGTTTCCTGTCTGTAGAGACACAGATAATAAAGTGAAAACACACCAATGGAAGGAGGAATCTTAGCCGGTGAGAAGTGTGTTGCAGGAAAGGAAACAGGAGTGGCGGAGATAATGATGAGGAAGGGGCAATCAGGGGAGGCTTCTCTGAGGAGGTGATGTTTGAACTGGGAGCTGAAAACAAGAGTCATTTGAGTATTGAAGGAAAAAGCTAGCACAAAGGCTCTCGATGGAAACAAGCTGGAGTTGTTGGGGGCTGTGTGGCTGGAGCTTTGGGAGCCAGAGGGAGGGGTGGGAACAGAAATCCAAGGGGGCCCCTGGAGGCCACAGGAAGACTAGATTTTGTTCTCAGCGCAGTGGGACACCATGGGAGGGTTTTAAACAGAAGAGTCAATTAATGATCTGTGCAGTACCAGTGACTTAGTGGTAATAATAAACATCACTGTTATTCAGTCTTTGGTTATTAATTTAGAATAGGGGGTGATGACTAGGTACCAAGGTCTCTTGGAAGGGATGGGGACATGCCTACTGTGACAAGTGAAGGGGTCCTGATGAGGAATTGCAAGTTGAGGAACTTGAGTCCTGGGTCTCTGCAAGGGAGCTGCATGACTGGATGTCTGGGTACCTGATGGGATCTGGGGCTGGGAGTGAGAGAGAGCTGTTGGCCATCTGGCTTCCAGGAGTGAGGGTGGGGGTAGGGTGGAGGATGGGCAGGTCACTGAAGAGGCTAGTACCTTGGAGACTGTTGTTGTTGTTGTTATGTGCCCTCAAGTCGGACCGACTCATAGCGATCCCTCTTTGGGTTTCGTAGGTGGTATCACTACGGAAGTAGATTGCCCAACCTTCCTTCCGAGGAGTGGCAAGTGGGTTTGAACCGCCAGCCTTCTGGTGAGCAGTTAAGTGCCTTAGGCACTATGCTACCAGAGCTCTGGGATACCAGTATATCCTGGCTGGCCGAATTCACATCCAAGCTCTTTTCACTCATCAGTTGGGTGATTTGGGGTCAGTGACGTCTCTATGCCTATTTCTTCAACTGTGCAACAGGGATAAAGATCGTGTGTGTGTCTATCAGATGGTGGTTCTTAGATGTACTAGTGCCTGGCACATAGTAGGCATAGTGGGTTTTAGCTATGACCAGACAGCTGGGGTCCTGAGTGGGTTCCGTCCAAGGGTTCTAGGATTTGGGAAAGGGGCAATTCTTGGGCCCACAAGGGAAAGCTAAAACTGGGAATCCAAAATGAGGGGGGTCCCTGGAAATGAAGGGTAAATAGTACTAAACTTAAGTGTCTGATAAGGACAGGGGCTGGGGGTTTGAACTTTGATCCTCAAGGGAGTTAGAAAGTCTGCGTCACGGAGGGAAAAATTAGGGGCTGGAGGGTCACGTGCCCCTCTTGGAGTGCAGAGAAGGAGCCCTGGACTAGAGTCTTGGGAACAGTAAGGGAATCGGGCCCTAATTAGGGAGATGGAAACTTTAGCGGGGAGGTGAATAACAGCAGGCTGGGAGTCGAATCAAGTTCCCAGAACAGAATCAGCGCCAGACATGGGTTCCCGGGGAATATGACAGCGTCCCTCATGTCAGGCCTCGCTGGAAGGAGAACCAGGGGGCCCCCCCCGGGGGTGGTGGCGGGATCTCCCCATCCGGGGCCTCCGAACCTCCCAGCAGAGCTGAGCGCCCGTGGGCTGCTTCCTCCTACCGGAAACCGCAGGCGTCGGGCACACCCAGCCAGCAGTGAGCAGCGCCCACTCCTAGCTCGCCCCGGGAGGCCCACGTGGGCAGCGGCCGACCGCCGGGGGGTGTGCC